CCTCCCTGCGGTCAGCGTCCTCCGTCTGCCCATCCTCCTGCAGGTCATTCAGCCTGCCCCACTCCCCTCCCCAGCGTCTCCGCGCTGGAGTCCGGGGTCCACACGGCAGGTGGGTCATCGTCTCCTGTCGAGTCGGGGTGGTGGTGGTTCCCTTCTCCTCCTGATGAAGAAATGGGGGGTCCTGAATTTCGGCCAGAACTATTTATATAATAGCTAGGCGTTTTAATTGGTTTTATTAGTAGTTTTAGTAATTTTAACATTAAACCAAAATTTTTTACCACATTCCCTGGTGCTCGTGTGTTTTTCACTGTTTTAATATGGAATTACCCAGGGATCACATTTTTAAAGAAATTTTTGATATATATATATATATATATATAGGTCTTTAGTTATTCGGGTTTTCTCCCGCGTAGAATTAAAAGTACCTTGGCGACGTTTCGACGAAGTCACATTCGTCATCTTCAGGCTGGTGTCTTCAGCTTCGTGCTTCTAAGAGTGGTGTGTGATCGCAGCTGTTTCTTCCTTTTAACTGCCAGTGGGGTTGGAGCTGATTGACTGGCGATCACACACCACTCTTAGAAGCTGACTGTATAGAGCTTCTCCATCTTTGGCTGCAAAGCACATAGTCAATCTGATTTCTGTGTTGACTGTCTGGTGATGTCCGTGTGTAGAGCTGTCTCTTGGTTGTTGTAAAAGAGTGTTTTCTATGACCATCGTATTCTCTTAACAAAATTCTATCAGCCTGTGCCCTGCTTCATTTTGTACTCCAAGGCCAAACCTGTGTTATTCCAGTTCTCTTTTGGTTTCCTACTTTAGCATTCTAATCCCCCATGATGATAAGGACATCATTTTTTGGTGTTAATTCTATAAGGTGCTGTAGGGCTTCATAGAACTGGTCAATTTCATCCTCTTCAGCACCATTGGTTGGGGCATAGACTTGGACTACTGTGATAATGAATGGTTTGCCTTGGATTCGAACTGAGATCATTCTGTCATTTTGGGGATTGTTTCCCAGTATTGCTTTTCCTATTCTTTTATTGACTATGAAGGCTACTCCATTTCTTCTGAGGGATTCTTGCCCGCAGTAATATACCTGATGGTCATCTGAGTTAAATTCACCCATTCCTGTCCATTTTAGTTCGCTGATTCCTAAGATGTCGATGTTCAGTCTTGTCATCTCTTGTTTGACCACGTCTAGCTTGCCTTGATTCATGGATCTTACATTCTAGGTTCCTATGGAGTAAAGATCTTTACAGCATTGGACTTTCCTTTCACCACCAGATGCATCCACAGCTGAGCGTCCTTTCGGCTTTGGCCCAGTTGCTTCATTCTTTCTGGCGCTACTAGTACTAGCCCTCTGCTCTTCTCCAGTAGCATATTGGACACTTTCCAACCTGAGGGGCTCATCTTCCAGTGTCATATCTTTTTGCCTTTTGGTACTGTCCATGGGGTTTTCATGGCAAAGATACTGGAGTGGATTGCCATTTCCTTCTCCAGTGGACCACATTTTGTCAGAACTCTCTGCTATGACCTGTCTGTCTTGGGTGGCCCTGCACAGCATAGCTCATAGCTTCATTGAATTATGCAAGCCCCTTCGCCACGACAAGGCAGTAATCCATGAAGGAGCATTAAATTTTACTAGTCTTATTTTTGAGCAATTTTTTAGGATTGAATTTTAAACAGAAAATTTAAAAAACTGCATTCATAATTACATTTATATACATTTCTTAAAATATAAATCCAACACCACTGGTCAAATTAATTTGGCCTAAAGTCTGCTCTTTTATTACAGCCACTAAAAGGAATCCATTTTACTTTATGAAAAATTTTCACCCATTCAATCACTCAAATGGTGAGATAGGTGGTGTATAAATTTAATAAATAGGATTTTGAAGCATAAAGTTATATATATTTCTCAGAATACAATTACTATTGTGTGCAAATCTTTTATATACCAGGATTTACTTTTGAAGTATACACAACTAACACTATTTGTGACTATTGCAAAATCACATTTTTATTTTCTTTGGAAATTATTCAAATTATTCTTTAATTACATTTTGTTCATAAACTGATTATGCTTACTAGACATATTGAATGATATTGCTCTTTTAAATGCAATTTAAACGAATCCAATAAGACATAGTGAAAAAGATATCACAATCTCGATATTAAATGGAACTACTGTTTTACCCAGTAACTATCATTTTTTTAAAAAAAAACTCTGTATATGCAATATTCAAATAAATAGTAAATTATCTTGTATAGCCTTCGTAAAATAAAAAACTACAGAACATTTTTTAAAATCAAAATTATTCCAATAAAGCTACACATCCTAGCCATTTCAAGAAGCATGCTGGCTGAATTATTAAGAATCTTGAATTATGTTCCTAGATTATATAAATTGGCGTGTTTTTCAAGGCAAATAATAAATATCACATCCAGGAAATGTGTGAAACATATGGTTTTTCGTGGAATTCAATAATCTCGCCAGATAAAAATATTATATTCCAACCCAATCATCTGGGTTTCATTGCCATGGGAAGCTGTAAAGGTTACTGCTTCGCGGGTTTTAACTCCCATAGTAAGAATAAATAGCAGCCTGCCGTGCTTATTTGGCTACAACCTGCATAACTAGAGGAATTTTCGTTTGATAAGCAGACTGGGTCGCGAATGAAAGACCAGTAACGCCTTATAGTTCCCAATGGCAGATCATTTGACACCAACAGATCCAAACATATAGCGTTCAATGGATCTGTGGTTTGTCACTGTACAAAAACTATTATGCTTTGATCACGTTCGATTGGCAAAAATAGTTGTCGCGGCAGAAGCTTGTCTGGATTCCTCTTGACTTCCTGTAGCACTCTGCACATGCCTAAAGGCACGCCCGTGGCGGGTTTATTAGAATTTTCCCTCCTCCCATACCTTGATCTTAACTTCCGGGTCCACCTTGAGCAGAGAGGCCATAGCGGGGCGGGGAAGCCGGTTTTCCTAGCCAGATCTGTTTCCTTTTATCCCGCGCGCGCGACCACCTGAGAAAATCACCGGCTTCGTTACCGCCGGAAGTGAGAACATAACGCCCCGCCACCGCCCTCTCTTGGCCAATCACCGAACGCGATTTTAGTCAACGTGATTGTTCCTTGTGCCTTTGTCGGACGGGCCTTATCCGGTGCTGTGCACATGCGCTGAAGAAACAACTTCCGGTTGGTATGGGTGGAGCTCGGTACAAATAAGTGAAGAGATTGACGTGGAGCCAAGCAGCGTAGAAGTAGGAAGTTGAGGATGGTTCGCGTTCGAAGTGATTTTTTTCCGGCAACTTAGAGATTATCTTCCGCTGTGTAAAATCCTAGGTATTATTTACTTCTGTAGCCGGTTCTTTAGTATTTTTGCCCCTAAGAGATGGCCTGCCTTCCATGGTTCTCTTTTTTATTATTGTACTACTGCCTTTAAACTGAAGTATTTTTCTGTTATTAGATCTGGGCTGCGTTATTATGGTCAGTAGATGGCAGCAAAGAGCCAACCAGATTGTCCCAACATTGTCGTGAACCCACCCTCATATTCTACTGTGAATATGAGGGTGGTGGTAGTAACAGTAAAATGTTTCATGTGCGGTTTTTATTCGTACAAAAGGACATCGCCGACTTTGCATCTTTGCAAATAGCTGTTGCAGTCCAGCTGCGCCGTGGCGGCACAAGCCCCCTGTCTGATGCCACGGAGAGCGAGAAGGCGGTCCCGTTTCGGCGCCTCCTAAGGGCGTGAGCAAAGAGTGCGATTTCTCCGGAAGAGAAAACTTTCTGCGAAGCCGTTTTGAGAGACGGCGGGGTTGCTTGGGAAGGCACTTTCAGGGAAAGAGAAAGCCGACTGTGTGTTGTTGGGAGGGTAAGGTAGCCTGGCAGTGATTTTTACCGATCGATTTTGTTCGCTCCTGGGGAAACTTTAAATACATATCGCTTGGGCATCCCGCTTATCGTCAGGGAATCTGGTTATGGCCCCTTAACAAGCACATTAGTTCGTTGTTGGGCGTGAAGTAGGTAAGAACGACGGAGGTCATTGGAATTTACCTTTTTGTATTCCTAGCCATAATCTGTCTACCAGCTTCAGTCTAAACTGGACTAGAAGAAGGAAATTAAAGCTGACCAATATGTGCTATTCACAGGTAGTAAATGTCAGTAAACTACAGTAGGCCAAATTGTGCCTTCATAGTACCTCAAAAATAAGTATGTGTATTGTTCCAAAATCATGTTTAGGATTGAACTGATACCTGACTTAATTTTTTTTTAGTAGAGCCTAGTTTGGACAGTTCCTGTTTCCCCAACTATACATAGTATCAGAACATAACTGATTTCCTTGGGAGTTACAGCTGAAATGGTGGTGATAAACCATATGTTATTACATGGATTGATTCAATATGTGTCATCAAGTTGCTGTTGACCTTTAGCCATAGAGCTAAGGTCTGTGCATAGATAGGATATATAGATAAATGTTCTCCATGATAATGCCAGAAAAGGTGGATGATCACTGTAATGATAATGGCAGAAATATCAATTCATGCTACATGAGAGTAACCACTCCTGAATTTTTAAATAGAACTACACAGATAGAAAACACAAACTGGATAGCAAATATAAAATGTATACTTTATACAACAAAATATTAGAAGCATTGTATTGACTATCTTTCTACTTTCACAGATATGGATGGGTATAAGTCACCTGCTTGCACCATGCAAGTCAGCTTTGTTTGCCAGCGTTGTAGCCAGCCTCTTAAATTGGACACATCTTTCAATGTTCTTGACAAAGTTACCATCCAGGAATTGACAGGTAAAAAAATGTGCATAAAACCAGTGCAAGCCATAAATTCCATATTGTGAATGCATACACTTCTCTATTGCTGAGAAAATTTATTGAAAGTAGAATGTAAGGTTGTTGGAAACATTCAGTAACACAGTGTAGTTATGAAGGATTTCAGCAGAGCTTAATCTGAGGCAGTTCTCAAATCTGAAACTTGTTTGAGAACCTGTCCTTAGAATTGGGAAGCAAAAGCTCAAATGGAAAATAATATGGGCAGATATAATAATCTTTCTGCTGAGTTTTAGCATTATATGCAAATGTTTTTATTTTTTCTTTGGTAATTGTTTATCTTTTGTCTAGCTCCTCTGCTTACTACTGTTCCAGCAAAACTGAGTGATGCACAGGAGGAAGAGATCCCTTTGAATGAGGTAAAGAGTTAGTATATGATTCTAAATTAAAAGCAGTGCAGCACTAGGAATTAAACACCAGCCATTATTAGGAATTATTATTTTCTTGGCATTCATTCTGCAAAACCTGCTTTTTAAATTTTCCTTGTAATACGTGTACATTGCAAAGTGGCAGGTTGTTAAAACTGCTTATGGGTTCAAATATTTAATTCTCTTTGGTAAGGAAAAGATGCTAATGCTAAATTTCTTTTTAGGAAGTGTTTGTTGAAAACCGCCAGGATGGAGTGTCTCGAAGATTCATTCCCCCAGCCAGGTATTAATTATTATGTTCTCTGCTCTAATACATTTATAATAAATACCATTATTTCAGAGGTTGGAAATTTTGACCAAAGTCTGACACTGAAGTCTTCCTGAGGTTGTTGCATTTTAATTTGGGTGGAAGATCTACACACACACACACACACACACACACACTCAACTGCCAATAAAAGCAAAAAAGCTCCTCTATAAAAGAAGCAAGAATTCTCTCTACCTATAGGAAGTGAAGGCAAAATATACTTTAGTTCTTCCATCCTTCCTTTGAAAGGAAACACAAATAATCCTATGACCTTGTTTAATGACAATTCAAGATTATAACAGCACTGTCAAAAATGACTTATGAGTGGTCCTTACACTTATGATCAACGCAGTATCACCGTGGTCATATGATCAAAATTTGAGAGTCTGGCAACCAGCATGTATTTATCATGGTTGCAGCATCCCAGGGTCATGTGATTACCATTTGTAACCTTCACGGAGACCTTTCAACTAGCAAAATCAAGCCTAATGACTATGACAAAAAAGGTTGTAAAATTATAAAATCATTAAGTGTGATTCAATAATTGAATTGATGTAGTGGAATCTGATGCTGAGCTATGGGAGGGAGGAGTAAAGTGAAACATCAGTCTTGAGTTGTTATGCAGTTGGTGGTGCAGAAGAGACTCTAATTTCTTCACAGTATTTATTCGATAACTATGCAGAGTGTGCTTTACTCTGGCAAGATTCTGTCTTTGTGAACAGCAATTTAGAAAAAAAAACTTTTGAGTATTTACATGTTTAATTGTTGATTTCTCACACCTGATAATTGCTTAGCGATAGAAGTTCTAATCCCAATTGTTGTCATAAGTTGAGGACTTCTTGTAGTTCATTTTCAACTGGATTCTCTATTATAGGACAACAGTTTTCAGAAGGAATTTTGTAAAAGTCTGGGAATTAGGGGAGTTGGTCCAACATTAGGCCAGTAGATTCAGGAAGGCTAGTTTGGTTTGTTAAAATTTTTTTAAAAGCTAGGTATGTTTCCCCCCACAGTAATGAGACCGAAGTATCGCTCTATTATTTCTGCCATAGGATTAATACATTTATCCCTGCCATTTTTTTCAGATCAGAATAAACATTCTGCAAAAGTTTTTTAAGTGACATGGTTCTCGATAATTTGTATGAATTAGCTAATGTATATTCTAATGAAAAGGGAATAGTTTTCTAAGAGGCTTTTAAATGGAATCCAAGTAATTCTTGGATGCAATGGATCCAAGCATGTCTTCATTTCTTTGAATGGTATTGTCTATCTGTAACAATTCAGACATTTTTTTCCTTGCAACCTAAGCCTGTAAACTGTAGATTTTCTATCAAATATAGTATATAGAGTAAAACACATTTACTATTTAGGAACTGGAAATAGTTTGTGGAACAAAATGTAAACAAACTACTATGGCTTAATGTCAGATTTTTGGTGAAAATCTATGAGAATTCATCTTATAACAAAATCATGCTGCATTTTTCAGGATGATGTCAACAGAAAGTGCCAACAGTTTCACTCTGATTGGAGAGGCCTCTGATGGAGGCACCATGGAAAATCTCAGCAGAAGACTCAAGGCAAGTTGTTCCCTAGTCTTGAATGTACTATCAGCATTTAAAAAAGAGTGATTGTTTGGGAGAATAGAATACAGTAATTTTGAACTTGTTTTTTTGTTTTATCAAAACAAAGCTCTAATGAATAGTAGTTTGGCTTGACAAAAGCTTTCTATCTCATTTAATAAACTGTAGAACTGTTTTCTCTTTCTTTTGCTAAAATGAGCTCTTCCTTCCTTACAGGTCACTGGAGATCTGTTTGACATCATGTCTGGCCAAACAGATGTGGATCATCCTCTATGTGAAGAATGCACTGATACACTTCTGGACCAATTAGACACACAGCTTAATATAACTGAGAATGAATGCCAGAACTATAAGTGAGTAATAGATTTCAGAAGCACTACAATATCTTCTTGACAGAATAAAGAAACAGTTTCACCTTGGTTCACTAAAATATTTTTTTGCTGAAGAAGGTATCATATGCATGTCTCAGACACATATATATTCAAGCTGTGGCAATTCAGTTTCTATTTTAAAGTAGAACGAATTGCAGTTAGTTCTTGACTTACGACCACAGATGAGCCCAGAATTTATGTTGCTAACTGAGAAATGTGTTAATTTTGCCCCATTTTACAACTTTTCTTGCCACATTTGTTAAGTGAATCACTGGAGTTGTTGAATTAGTAACATGTTTGTTAAGTGAATCTGGCTTCCCCATTGACTTTGCTTGTCAGAAAGTTGCAAAAGACTTCAGGACACTGCAATTGTCATAAATATGAAGCAGTTGCCAAACATCTGAATGTAAATCACATGCCCTTGGGGATGCTGCAATGGTCATAAGTGTGAAAAACAATCATACATCATTTTTTTCAGTGCCGTTGTAACTTTGAATAGTCACTAAATGAACTGTTGTAAATCGAGGACTACCTGTATATCTACACAGATTTGATACTCAGGGGCTACTGGTTGGGTTTCCAG